TAATGCTTTTCAGTGTGCTTTAGTGAAGTGGAAATGGGAAAGATCAGGGATTCCTGGACAAGTGACTCCTCAGCTAGCACTTTATTGAGGAGGAGGCCCTGCTATGCCCACTTCTCTGTGTGTAGGGTTGTGGGGGGTGCAGGTAGGTTCTGCTAAGTGGGGCTGCTCCCCTGGTGAGCCCCATAAGGTGGTGAATATGTATATAGTTATCCTAGGGTGTGCCAAAGCCTTGCTAGAGTTTCAGTACCTGGTTTTGTTGGAGACCAAAAACTGATAATAGGAAAATCATCCATGCATCTCTGCCATGAGAGTCAAGCCGCCTGTTTGCGTCATCCCAATGTCCTGGGGACATTTTTCTGATTTAAAGTAAATGAAATTTTTTTTGGGTGCTGAAGCAGTGGCTCACGTCTGTAGTCCCAGCACTTTGGGAGGCTAAGGCAGGACAATCGCTTAAGCCCAGGAAGTGGAGGCTACAGTGAGCTGTGATCATGCCACTGTACTCCAGCCTGGGCGACAGAGTGATATCTTGTTTCAATAAAATAATAATAAAGGAAATTCTATGGGCCCCTAAAAGCATTGTGGGCCTCAGGCCCTGCGAGTCCTGTGCCTCCTGGGCAAGTCAGCCCTGACAGGGGTGGAAGGAGACACCCAAGCTTGACCTCTGTGGCTCATGCTGCTAATGTTCCGGGGCACTGCCCATGGGCCATACAGAAACAGGCAGTGGGCTGGCCTTGGCCAGTGAGCCATAGTTTGCTGACCATTGTTCTAGATGACCAAGTTTCAATTAGCTGAGAGAATTTCTGTTGGGCGACAAGACAGCCAAGAAAAGACATGGTCATCCAAAGTGACTGGTGACCACCACGGAGAATCTTCCCCTGGGCCCTAATCACCACCCTGTTCCCACACCCGCTTTTTCTTTTCACTTTGTGAAAAGTAAAAGTGTACACTTATTAAACATAAATGGCCTGTAATCCCAGCACTCTGGGAGGCCAAGGCGGGCAGATCACTTGAGGTCAGGAGTTTGAGACCAGCCATGGCTGTCATGGTGAAACCCCATCTATGCTAAAAAATACAAAAATTAGCCGAGTGTGGTAAAGCAAGCCTGTAATCTCAGCTCCTTGGGAGGCTGAGGAGGGAGAATTGCTTGAGCCCGAGAGGTGAAGGTTGCAGTGAACTAAGATTGCCTGGGCGAGAGAGCAAGACTCCATCCCCACAAAACAAGCAAACTAACCATCTACATAACTGTATAACTTAATGAATTATCACAAAGCAAACACCCATCCAGATCAAGAAATAGGGCATTCCTAGCACTTCCACAGGCCCCTCTCCCTGCACCTGAAGGAAGCTACAAAACTGACTTATCCCCTGTAAGATAAGTCTGTTGGGTTTATAACACTACTCTTTGGCATCTGGGCTCTTTCAGGCCTGATCATTGTTGTACTGTGTTTCTAAAAGGACTGAATGGAGTGGGCTACCACTCACAAGATCTCAGGGCCATGCTTTTCTCAGGAGCTTGGTTCTCTTAGAGGGGCTTGGCTGGAGGTGAGGAATGCCTGTGAGCAATCCAGCCAGCCAACCCAGGGTGCTCTGAGGACTAGAGAGAAAAAAGGTTCATTGATACCATAAAGCACCTAGTCACAAACACAGATGCTTTGTTAGAGGAACACCACAAATGGAAAAATCATGGCTAGTGAAACTAAGGAAGTTCCTCTAGACTGCAACTCTATTGATTTGAAACTGATTAGCCCATTACTATTAAAAGGGAAAAAATTTATAGGGAAGGCAGATTCAACATGCTTTATGTTTGAGTGTGAGTCAAACCTTCTAACTGCAACTCACCCCAATAGTTTAGGGCTGCCATGTTATAGCCATGAAGGCTATGCATGGCACAACTCTTGCAAGCACCGTTCGCACAGAATACAACGTGAATGCTGCCCTGTGGAACTGCATGGTGAGGCAGTCCTGCCAGTATGAACAGAATCAGTTGCCTAGATCCAGGCCATGCTTTAACTGACAATGTTTAATTTGATCAGTTACACAAGTCTGGGTAAAGGACTCTTTTTTTGGTGGGGGGAACCTCTGCCTCCTGGATTCCAGTGATTCTCCTGCCTCAGCTTCCCCAGTAGCTAGGATTACAAGCACACACAACCCCACCCAGCTAAGTTTTTGTATTTTTAGTGGAGATGGGGTTTCACCATGTTTGCCAGGCTGATCTCGAACTCCTGACCTCAAGCAGTCTGCCCACCTCAGCCTCCCAAAGTGCTGGGATTATAGGCGTGAGCCACTGCACCCAGCCAAGGCTCTTCTTTTCTTTTCTTTTTAAAAAAATATTCATATTTTTTTGAACCAGACTCTCTCTCTGTCACCCCGTCTGGACTGCAGTGGCATGATCATGGCTCGCTGCAGCTTTGACTTCCCAGATTCAAGTGATCCTCCTACCTCAACCTCTGGAATAGCTGGGACTGTAGGGGTACAGCTAATTTCTTATGCACAGCTGATTAAAAAATTTTTTTAGTCACAGGGTCTTGCTTTGCTGCCCAGGCTGGTCTCAAACTCCTGGCCTCAAGCAATCCTCCCACCTCAGCCTCCCAAAGTGCTGGGATTACATGTGTGAGCCACTGCACCGGCCTCCCCATTTTAAATATGAGACTAGGCATGGAGAGGTTATCATGCCCAGGGTGGTGCAGCAAGCAAGCAGCAGAGCTGGGAGTGGAACCTAGACAGCCCACAGTCCTCCCTGCTACATGGTCTGTGCTATTCAGACACGAATTAAAGTTCCTGTGAGCAGGCTCAAGCGGCTCATCACATTCAGGCTCCTTCTGATCCCCTGTGAAGAGACGGTTTGAGAGTATAGAATTGCTCCTTTTGATTTGGTTACATCAGAATACTGACTCACCAAGTACTAATCGAACCGCCAAACACCGTCCACAATAGAGAATCAAGGCAACCACACTCCAGGGTAAGAATCCAAATTGTTATTCCCAACAGGCCCCATCGGGCCCCTGATTGGTGTGAACTCTCTCCTCATCCTTTGGGACTTACCCAGAAATGAAAACTGGTTCCTATATTACATGAAGAGCTGGACGTGTTCAGGTCAGAGAGGGGATCTGTTTCTTCAGAGGCTTCCACTCTGTTTGCAGGATAATCCTATTATAGGAGGTGTCTAGATTCCCTAATGGTGCTGGAATGTGGTATCATTGAAAACAGGATTATATAAATGCATGGGCTGGGTGTGGTGGTGCCATGGTAGAGGCACGGGCAACTGCTCTCTTTCAGGGACTTTCCCAGTAATTTGAGGGCCTGGGGCATTCTTCCTGTTGTTCCCACTTGAGGCTTGCCTTACAGTAGATGCTCAGTTAAGACCTGTTGAGCTAGTTGTTCTGACAAGACATAACTTTACGGAGCTAGGTGGCAAAACCACCCACTTTTTGCAAGAGCCCTGCTGGTGTGGAGTGGGGAGCCCCTGAGTAGCTTGAGGCTTCCCAGTTGCAAGCCGGTGGCCACAGAAGGATCAGCGACAGCGGCTCCAGTGCTGCCCACTGAGCCTGGCTGTCCTGCCTCAGGGGGGCTTGCCTGATGAAAGGAGCAAGGGAAACAAAGCCCATCTCCTAGAAGAGCAACAGCTCCTCCATGGGCAAGTGCTGCTTCAACACACGAGAGGGGAACAAAGGAACTGCAGGTCCCAGTGGAAACACTGTGTTCATTTCTGAGGACTGTGCTATATTTTAAGGCAATTGTCACATGTACAAAACAGTCAGATGAACAGTATCCGAACAGATTTATGACAACATGTTAGAAAGAGAACAGCAAGGGAAACGTTTTCAGACAAGGAGATGTGAGATTTTCCCCAGTCAGGTAACCCCTGGTCTACCAACTCCATACTGAAAGCCAGGAAGACACATAGCACATTCTCTCTTCTTGCCTCCAAGGGGAAGGGCCACCCTTCTAAGACCATGCTTCTTACTGCAGGACCAGGCCAGGAAACAGATGGTCGGCCAATGAGTCTTAAGTCCAGCTCTAATTTCATGTTTTATGGCTTTGTGAAATTCATCTTTAGGAATGGGAAAATCAGGATACCAAAGACATACAACTTGTAGTTAATAGTTAAGTTCACCTCTCTCCAAACACAAACTTGTTGGGCTTGGAGCTAAAATGATACATACACACACGTATACACAACACACATATAACACACATATGTGTGTATAGATGTGTGTGTGTGTGTGTGTGTGTATGTGAAAGAAGAAAAACATGTACTGAAGCCTGAAAAAGTGTTCATTTGCCATCTGGAATCAAACAATGTGATTGTTTCCCCTTGAAAACAGAAGAGTAGGCCGGGCGCGGGAGCTCACACCTGTAATCCCAGAAGTTTGGGAGGCCGAGGCAGGCAGATCACGAGGTCATGTGTTCGAGACCAGCCTGACCAACATGGTGAAACCCCATTTCTACTAAAAATACAAAAATAATCTGGGCATGGTGGCCTGCGACTATAATCCAAGCAACTCAAGAGGCTGAGGCAGGAGAATCGCTTGAACCCGGGAGGCAGAGGCTGCAGTGAGCTGAGACCATGCCACTACACTCCAACCTGGGTGACAGAGCAAGACTCTGTCTCAAAAAAAAAAAAAAAAAAAAAGAAAGAAAGAAAGAAAGAAAGAAAGAAAGAAAGAAAACAGAAGAGTATCAGCAACATGCTCTACCCTGCGGGGAAAAGTTTCCAGTTTCCTCTGCATGGTTCCTGGTCCCTCCTGGCTTCACAGGAGACTGAATGGCTTAGCTGGTTTAAAGAGCTGGGATTTCCCCGTGGCTGGCTCAACTCTGTGTCCCACGGCTTTCCTTCACCCCTTCTGCTCAGGCACACAACCCAAGTTTTAAGAAGGGGGTGTGGCTTGATGATCTCAGTTCCATCTACCCATTCTCATCTCAATGGTATACACATCCATTAACGTGTGCCCCCGTCTGTAGGGCCCAAGTGACACACAGCAACAGGGAAAACAAGGGAATGAAGGAGGCTGAACACTGGGGCGCTTTAATGGCCTGCTACAGGGTGGCAGAAACAGTGCCTGGGTCTGGGAGACACGGCGAAGTCAGGTGCCCAGAACCATGGTGGAAGGTGGGGTAACTGGTTCATGAAAACTTGAAGGACATGAGGAAGAGGCTGCGTTTGATGCTAACTACACACAGAACAAGTGGCGTAGATAAAAGTCCTAATGCGCATAGAGAACAAAGCTCTGCTCAGAAAGGCTATCCTCACCAGCAGAAGGACTGGGTAGAGAAAGCTGTCCCTTACACAAAAAAAGAAGAGCATACTGGGTTGGCACTTGATAGCCAAGAAGTGAAATGGTCATTTTCACAGATTAACAGTTTGCCTCACCAAATCCCTCTGAGGTAGGTAAGAGGCAGGTGACATTAGCCCCATCTTACAAATGGGGTAAAGTGAGGCCCCAGGACCTGTTACATCATGAATATGTGTCAACAACCAGTCAGACAGCAGGTTCTCAGATCTTCCCTCTCACTGGTAAACTCCTCTGTGAAAGCCCCTTACTTAGATTAGAAGATTAGAACCACATCAGCAGGTAACTGGAAAAACGTGGACCATTTCGCTGATAATTTTAAACGTGGATGTACTGGCAAGAAAGGGATCTATATTTTGAAATCAGCCAAAGCCAGGGGACCTGGGAATCTGTGAATGGGGGTGCCCCACTCCAGTTAGTACATGGTTTTCTCTGGGGTGGGGGCTGTCGTTTTTGCTGCAGTGCAGCATTTTACAGAGTCCAGTTGAATTCAAATAGTAGATTGATAAACCAACAGGCGTCCTGAATATGACTGCATCACACTTCCCCAGGGAAGGAGGCCCCTCTCTGGCCTGTTGCCAAATCAGAGTGAATAGAGCTAAAGCTACAGTGTTGCCAGAGGCCCAGGCCTCTGGAAGGAGGGAGAAATGTGCCCTAGGGCTGGGATGAGAACTGGGACAACTGTGTGTGAAACCCGTCCTGTCCTGATTAGAGAACCCTCTGCTCCCCCATCCACCCTGACAAGGCTGCATTCCCTCTCCTTTTTTCTTTGACCTCAGAATCTAAGATGTTTACCTAAGGCTGTGGACCAGAAACCACCTGCCCCTACCCGCCTCCACACACAGTGCTAACACCCACCTGGAGTATTTCTAACTTGACACTGTACGGCACCTGCAGTCTCCCAGAACCCAGGGATCAGAAGCCACCCACACCTAGCTATAGCACAAACTCTTTAAACACCTGAGTCCCAGCTCAGCAAAGTCCAGCTAAGAATTTGGGTATTTTTTCAATTACTACAACTCAAGGCAATGCAATAGGTGACTATAAACCCCCTTGGTTTGCTTAGGAAACACCTGACACAGAGCTGACTAGGGGACAGTGAAATACATCATCTGCATTTTTCCAAGGCGTGACCACAGGACCCTTTGAGTCCATGGTTTCTTGAGCCTGGCAGCTCAAGGGGTCCAAACAGATCGCTGGATGTACACACAGTTGCACCTGGACATGGATTAAGCCAAATGTCAGAGTGTCCTGGTCCTTGGTAACCAGTTCCTCCTGGGGAGCCTGAGGCCAGTGCCGAGAGGTAAGCCTCAGGCCAGCGACTGAGCCAAAGCATTGCTTGGGAGATTAAAAGTTGGCAAGGGCAGTGCCCTGTGTCCACGACTGGCGGCTGGGTGAACAGGGTGGGACAGCCCAAAGCCCAGCCCCCTCACAGAACCGACTCCTTGGATTCCAGTTCTGGGGCACTGGCCACGGGGCCACGGGGGTTCTGGTGTGTCACCAGGGGTGACGTCTCCTCCTCAGACTTGCAGTTGGGGATGGCTTCCACTTTCACCTCAGCCAATTCCTGCCCACCTTTCTTCGTTGCCTTCTGATTCAGGTGGTGGAGAATGCCCGCGCCCAGGGCATCCCCTTCGACATTCACCACCGTGGTGGTACGGTCCCTGGTAGGGGAAAGAAGAGGCTCAGCTATTACATCGAATGCTGGGGGATCGGGTCCTGTCACAGGCAGCCTAGGTGCCAAGGGAAAGTCTTGATTGTGAGGGTCCTGTTGTTTCCTGGAGAGCCTGCTTCTAAGGCATGGGCTTTACCTTACTCTAAATTGATTTTCTTTAAACACGTTCTACTTTTATAGAAAGAATAAAAAAGAGCATAAAGAAGCAAACAAGTCACTCACCCTTAATCCAAAACTGAGTGAATCTGTATGCACATTTTAATCTATTTCCTTCTAGTCATCTTTCTATACACATATTTTATATGTATTAGACACCATCATTAAAAATTACACATAAGCCAGGCACAGTGGCTCATGCCTGTGATCCCAGCAATTTGGGAGGCTGAGATGGGAGGACTGTTTAAGGCTAGGAGTTTGAGACCAGCCTGGACAACATAGTGAGATCCTATTTCTACAAAAAATAAAAGAATTAGCTGGGCATGGTAGTGCATGCCTGTAGTCCTAGCTACTCAGGAGGCTGAGGTGAGAGGATTGCTTGACTTCCAGGAGTTTGAAGCTTCAGTGAGCTATGATAATGCCATTGCACTTCAGCCTGGACGACAGAGTAAGACCCTATCTCTAATAAGTAAACAAATAAACATACATATTGGGATAATAGTGCGGATATGGTTTTGTGTCTAGCTTTTCTTCCACTGAGTATTACACTGTGCGAGTTTCCCTTCTTTTTCTCATTTCAACGCTGCTTTACTGCTGGATGTTAATCTTCATATACGTTCCATTGCCATTGGCAAATGGAATCCCATCTCAAAGAAAATATCCTTTCCAGAAGCTAACTTGTGCTGTAAATTAGCCAATACCATTCCCCTGCCCCTGGAGCTCAGAGAAAGTATTGTGCACATTTTGAAGAGAGGGGAAAACGTGATCTTCCCTGAGGGCACTGGAGAGCTGACTTCCTGCAGAGTGCGGTCCGGCTGTCTGCAGAATCAGAGGTGATGGGGTGGCTGGTGGGCCTGTATGACTTCAGGACTCTACTGGGCAGCTGGCTTGGTGCCCTATTTCCCTATTCCTGGCCAAGCAACTCTTGGATGCCTCTTCTCCATGCACAGGAGGTGGCTGGGTGAGAAAGGAGAGGGGCCTCTGACAGCTCTGGTCCTGTCCAGCTGGCCAGCTCAGGTATGCAATTCCCTCTGATGAGGCATCTGGGCAATGTGGGTCTCTTGCAAATTTCACCCTCATTGCTCTGAGAAGCCCCTTAAAGTTGGAAAACCCACCATTCCCACCCACAGCTGGCCAATCCACGAGACCAGAGCCAGGCTGTAGGGTTCAGGTTCCCTTTCTCCTGCCTGTGACAAACCTGGTCTGGAATGACTTTCTTTGCTAACATGAATGTTTTACCACATGCTCATTATTCTGTGTGCTGTTCCCAGGCTAACTCGCTCAGTCTTCCCCACAACCCTGGTGTGGCTGCTCTGATCATTCCCATTCGACAGATGAGCAGACCAAAGCACAGTGCAGTGCAGTTCCACAACCACTCATGGCGAAGCTGGGATTTCGGTCCAGGCACCTGGGTTCCAGGGCTCGTTCTCTTTCTCACAGGCTCTACTGGCTCAACATTAGTACCACAGCCAACCTTTCCTATAAAACAGGTATTTTTATGCCTGCAAAAGATATCACGTGACTCAAGGAATCAACTGCACAGAAACTGTTTTGTGTCTTCACAGCAGCCCTAGAGAAGCGGTCTGGATCACCCCTTCTTCCCTAGCTCCTCCTCTGCTGAGCCCAAGCCCAAGTCACTCACATTGGCATGGTTCATCCTCTCGCCCCTCATAGAAATCACTCCTTAGAATTTTCCAGGCCAGGGGCAATCATTCCCAAAGGATCACTGCGCCATTGACTTATTACTCCTATGCAGCCAGCAACCCCACATACCCTCATGTCCCCTGGGCCTGCGCAGAGGACCTCAGCTGTGGCCCCTACTTTACCGGATGCTATAAGCAAGTTCTTGGTAATGACATCTCATGGTCATTCCTGGATGTTCACGGGCATGTGACTCATATTACTTAATTTTTCCTACCTCTAAATCTTGCCCTGCCAGCTCCACTGCAGGCTCCCTCACAAGGCTAGCGTGTGTCTGGTTTCTATGCATGCCCCAGGCCTACCAGTGTCAAGCTCCTAGGGAGCTCAATGCAGACTCTTTCTGGTGTTCTTAGGACTTGTTACTTACACAATCCAGTCCACAGCCAGGATCAGAGACAGGTCATGAGTAGGCAACCCAATGGCCTCCAGGATAATGGCAATGGTGAGGACCCCTCCGGCTGGCACGCCTGCTGCTCCAACACTGGACGCTGTGGCGGTCACTCTAGGGGACGGCAGAGCAGGGCCAGCCATGAACATAGAGCATGGAGTGGGCACAGAGAAATGCAGACCATGCAGCTGCAGTGTGGCTGGAACTGAAAACAACCCCACCACGGGCTCTGCGGGCTGCGCCCTTGAGAGCCAACACACGCTCTTCAAGTAATGAATCCCCACTGTCCTCATTTTACTAACAAGACACCAAGCCGTAGTGAGATTAGTTTTTCAAAGGAAATCACGAGAAAAACCTTCAGTTTCGAGCCAGGGAAAGAATGAAGAACTTACAGAATGGTGAAAATCTGCCCTGCATTGAGCTCTACGTTGTTGAGCTGGGCAATGAACACCGTGGCCACACACTGGAAGATGGCTGCTCCGTCCATGTTCACAGTGGCCCCGATGGGGAGAATAAACCTGCTGATCCTCTTGTCCACACCATTGTTCTCTTCGATGCACTTCATCATAGACGGAAGGGTCGCTGAGCTAGAAATGGGGAAATCAGACAGCCAGACATGACAACAGTCCCAGCCAGGCTAACACGTGACTCATCTCAGCTCCCAGAACAGAGCAATTAACACCATCTTCATTTCTGGCTTTCTTCTCTTAAGATAAGGGAAAAAACAGAATCACTTTAAAACTTCTGTCACAACACGAGGCTTTGGTAACTCCCAAAGTATTGAAAATAGGATTTACCGGTTCTTTTATTTACCTGGATTCACATGTTCCAAATTTCTTAAGAACTGCTTTGTCTCCTGGTGCAAAATCTTCCCAAGAGAACAAACACCCATTTACTCTAATGTGCATCTCCTCTCTTGAATACTCCCCTCCCAAAAGTAAATGTTAAACTATGGTTTTGTTTTTCTTTTAGGCCAAAAAGCAAAAATGGCTCTGCGAGTTTGGAAAGAATGACTAAGCAGAGAACCATAAGAACAGTACCTGCTCCCTCTAGCTGGCTCTGCAGGCTCCGCTGAGGCTAGTAGGTGCAGCTGAGAATGAGGTTTTTGTCTAGGCCAGAGGAACTTCTCTTCTTCATCTGTTTTTTACCCCCACTTTCCTTGTTATATAAATAGCCATCCAGATTGGGAGGAAGTGAGCAGTAAAGGCAAAACCAAATGTGTGAATGAAACGACGTGCTGCCATCCTTTGAAAGTTTTAACATATTTGGAAAACCCAATTTTTTTTTTTTAAGGTTTTCCAGGGAAAGACAGGATGCATCTCTTGTGCTAAATTAGATAATTCCACACTATTGTGGACTCCTAGAAGGCTGAGCATGCAACCGTCACCACGGTGCCTCAGACTCATTTTCTAATCCACACATCCAGAAAAGGAGAATTGGGCAGAAACCATTCTGAAAATTTCCCTGCAATGCACTGTGAGTGAGGCGGGCTGCCTTCTTTCATTCAGGCAAAGGTCTTCCTAATTAGAGTGAAGGACCTGGAACTGCGCTAACTAATGATCTGCTGCTAAGGAGCAAGAGGGAGAAGAGAATGAGGTAACTTCAGTAGAAGAGGAAATGAAACAAACCCACCCCAGGGGAATACAGAAAAGCTGTGGGGCTGGTGATTTTAAGAAATCATGTGAGGCTCAGTAATCCCAGCTGTTTGGGAGGTCAAGGTGGGAGGATCACCTGAGCCCAGAAGTTTGAGCTCAGTCTGAGCAATCATGGGAAGATCCTGTCTCTTAAAAAAAAAAAAAAAGCATCGCAAAAGACTGATTTAGAGTTTTTCAGGAATTAAAGTATGTCAAGATGCTGGTTGTACATCTACCACTGGGCTCGCCTGGTTCCATATTACTATGGCTCAGAGCAGCAAAGAGATCCAAAATCCACTCACCTGGAGCAGGTGGCAAATGCTGTTGCAAATGGGGCGAGGAGGCCCAGGAGGAATCCGAAGGGGTTTCTTCGTGTGAAAACAAAATAAATAAGTGGCAGAACAATTCCTCCATGAATAACATGGCCCAATATAGATGCGAAGATGTATTTCCCCAGGCTGGTCACCAGCACGATGATGTCTTTCATTTCCACAATCTTGCTTCCAACAAGGAACATGATGCCCACAGGTACGTACCTAGGGCATAAGCACAGGGTACTCATCAGTAGGGGCTAAGGTTGGGGTGAGAGATGCAGACCCTTCCAGATGCAGAATGTGGGGACTTTCAACGAGGCTGTCTTCATCTCTCCCTATTATAACCCTGAGGAACTGAAACGGGCAGGGTTATACCACCCGCATTTTGCAGGCAGTGAGACTGAGTAAAATGAGGATGATGGCTCACTGTGGGTAACAGAGTCAGAACCAGAACCCAGATGTCTTTCCCCTTGGATACAGCATGTCCTTAACAGAAGGGTGCTACCAGTCACAGGAATTCCCAGGAGGATAGGTAAGAAAATGGAAATAAAAGCCTCCAGGACTGTGAGCTTGACTTCTTGGCTTTGCTCAGGCTTGTTCCGAGAACTTAGAAACACAAAAGACTAACACCTATTTTACAGAGTGGCTGTGATACAAAATTGAGCCAAAGCTAGCACTTTTGTGAAGTTTTAAATTCTTTGTGGCTTAGACAACATGACTCCGTGGGAAAAAGTCACTCACAATGACACTCTGGGAACATGCCTGGAGCGTGAGAGTTTTTTAAAGGCAGGATGGGAAGGAATGGATTGTGGGAGCTACAAAGAACAAAAGTCAGTTGTTTTGAATTAATATAAATTCAGGAAGAATTTTCTAACTGTTGACTTTATTTGTAAATTTTAATTGTGTAGGTAATAATGTCACATAGTTCGAATTTCAAGGGGTACAAAAGAGTGAATAGAGTACAGTCTCCCTCTCATCTGTCTCCCAAGCACCCAGATTTCCCCTCCCTGGAGAGAGTCAATGTCTCTTGAATTTTCTTTCTGGAGATATTCTAAGCAGTAATTATTAATTTAAAACCCAATAGTAATATAAGAATACATTCCCTTTTAAAAAATTAAAACGTAGATGACACCAAAATCCTCTTTCAGCACCATCCTCAAGCCAGTCCCCTCCTCAAATAACCACTCCTACCTCTTATGCAATTAGATTCATATGTATTTAAATCTGTGTTTATTTCTTTTTCACCCTATGTCTTTTAAATCTTTTCATATCAGTACGTAGAAATCTACCCCGTTCATTTTTATTGTGGTGAAATATGCATGACATAGAATTGACCATTTTAACCATTTTACAGTGTAGAGCACAGTGGCACGAAGTTCATTCACATTCTTGTGCAACTATCATCACTATCCAAGTCCAGAATTTTCCCATCATCCTAAACTTTGAAATAATTCAACATAATGGCCTATTTTCCCCTCCTCTCAGCTCCTGAGAACTACTATTTTACTTCCCGGCTCTCTAAATTTGACTATTCTAGGTATACAAAGGTAGAATCATACAATATTTGTCCTTTTGTGTCTGGGTTATTCTACTTAGTATGATGTTGTCAGGCTTCATCCACACTGCAGCATGAGCACTCCTTTCTAAGGCAGAATCATATTCTACTGTATGTCTACATCCCATTTGGTTTATCCATTCATCCACTACCAACGTTTGGGTTGGGGTTGTTTCTACCTTTACCTCATTGTCTTTAAATATTGTCTTCAGCATGGAAATATCATAGGTGATTTTGTCATTGTCTTGCTGGTGGACGTTTAAGTTGTTCCCAGGTTTAGCATGACAAACGACACTGCAAACATGGGCCTTGTTGTACCCACATGCCTTTGTTCTCTAGGTAGAGATGCTAAGAAGTGGAAATGCCGAGGTATGGGGCGTGCACATTTTAAATTTCAGTAGATAATACGCGACTGTTCTCCAAAGTGGCTATTCCATATCACATTCCCACCAGCAGTCCAGGAGAATAATCTTCCCTCTGCAACAGTGAGTTCTTATCCAGGGATGATTTTGTCTGGAAGACAGTTGGGTTGTCACAACTTTAGGGTCATGGTGCTAGTGGCACAGAGCAGGTGGGGGCCACGATGATGCTAAATATCCGACAGTTATGAGACAGCCTCCCACAAAGACTGTCTCATGTCAAAAGTGTCAAAAGTGTTATGGTTGAGAGACCTTGACCCAAAATGTCAAAAGTGTCATGGTTGAGAAACCTCACCCTCGCCCTTATCAATGCCTGATAAAACCAAATTTTCATTTCCCTTATTTCTAATGAGATTGGGTCTCCCTTAAAATATTTACTGGTCATTCAGGTTTCACATACTTCCATTTGCTAATAGTTTATTCAGTGATTTTTCTTTTTCAGTAATCAGAACTCTTTATATATACAGTATGCAAATATATACATCAATTTTTAGAAATGAATGTCTTGACTTTTTGTTCAAAGTATGTTTTGCATGTAGACTTTTTATATTTTGATGTGGTTAAGTTTAGCAGCTTTCTGTGGCTTTTGCTTCTTATATCTTGTTTAGGAAGACCTTCCCTGCCTCTATATTTTCTTCTAATCTTTTTAGAAGACTCCTCTCTTTCTTTCCTTCTTTTCTTCCTTCCTCCTTGGTGAGTTTAATCCAGGAATTAGCAGCGTGAGTCTTTGTAAATAAAGTTTTATGGGAAATTAGCCATACTCTTTCATTTATGAATTGTGAACAGGTACTTTTCCCCTCCAATGGCAGAGTTGGGTCATTGCAATAGAGACCATGCGGCTTGCAAAGTTTGCTGACCCTGGGTTTAACACATCTGAAAGTTATTTCTGAGTAGTGTAGGGTAGGCAGGTACTTGAGTTGTGGAGTGGGTAGTTGGTAAAGGAAAGAATGCAGAAAGCGGTAATACTGAAGATGCCTCCCCACGTGGTTGAGATCCCTTTACTAGTTAAGCCATTTTAAACTCCAATTCTGTGTAATATGCATTTCTGAGCAACAGGTCTCTTGCTCTCTTGCTGCAGTTAGATACTTAGCAGGATCTGCCTAACTGAATACCTGCTTATGTGACTGGTACGTCAAATTGCAGGAATGACTAAATTGGTTTCCAGATTAAAAGCAAATGTCCTAACATGGGAGTATCAGTGATATGGTTTGGATCTGTGTCCCCACCAAAATCTCATATCAAATTATAATCCCCCCCACCTTCCCACTCTTTTTCTTCCTCCTGCTCTGGCCATGTGAAGACATGCCTGCTTCCCCTTCGCCTTCTGCCATGCTTGTAAGTTTCCTGAGGATTTTCCAGTCATGCTTCCTGTACAGCCTGTGGAACCATGAGCCAATTAAACCTCTCTTCTTTATAAATTACCTAGTTTCAGGTATTTCTTTATAGCAGTGTGAGAATGGACTAATACAATCAGTTTCTTTCTTTACTTTTAAATTTAATTGTTTATATTTTGTAGAGATAGGGTCTCAATTTGTTGCCCAGGCTGGTCTTGAACTCCTGAGCTCAAGCAATCCTCCAGTCTTGACCTCCCAAACTGCTGGGATTATAGGTATGAGCCACTGCACCTGCCTCAGTTTCTATTCTTTAGTCAAAACTTTGGAAAATGTTAATATTTTAGACTGAAAAAAAGCCAAGAAAAGACCTTGACATCTAAAAACCTTTTCTTTTCTGAAAATATCAGTTATCACTCAGAACGACAATCACATGAAGTGGCCTTGGCAATGATAGAGTCAGGCTCTGGAATTTTCAGATTGAGCAAGAGAAACACCACTGGTAGGGAGTCTAAACTTAGCCTCCCATTCAATTTCAAACTTCTAAAATCAGTCCAGCTGTCATCTAGCACCAACTGAGAGAGAGAAGTTCTAGAATCTTTAAGATCTGACAATAAGGAAAATGCTCTGTGCATGGAAGGAGAAACTAGTTCTTAACAATTAAGTAGAAGCTAAGAGCTACAGAGGTCTGGTTTGGGTAAAACAGCAGGATAAAGTTTATGAGAGACTGGTACAGGAATTGGTATGATTTCTGAGAAGATGCTTAGAGGGAGCTGGTCAAATTTTTACCTTTTAGCCAAGAATCAATCTAAGAATTGTTACTTAACACGTGCTTTCATTGATATTACACAAAGAAACATTTGCAAATTAAAAACCTACATAAAAGGGCTGGGTGCAGTGGCTCACACCTGTAATCCCAGCACTTTGGGAGGCCAAGGTGGGTGGATCACCCGAGGTCAGGAAGGAGTTTGAGACCAGCTTGGCCAACATATATGGTGAAACCCTATCTCTACTAAAAATACAAAAAATCAGCTGGGTGCAGTGGCGGACACCTGTAATCCCAGTTTCTCAGGAGGCTGAGGCAGGAGAATTGCTTGAACCCAGAAAGTGGAGGTTGCAGTGAGCCGAGACTGCACCACTGCACTCCATCCTGGGCAACAAGAGTGAAACCCTGTCTCAGATAAAAAAAAAAAAAAAAAAAAAAAAGCCTACATAAATAAAGACCATTCCAACTTTATATATGCATGGGGTGAAAATGGACTTGTCCTTCATGCTGTGAACTACTGTAAGTAAAGGGTCTTGAAGGCTATCATTTTCAGATAAATGAACCTTATTTCATGCAGCAGATAGCAAACTGATGGAATTCACTGCCCCACAAGATGCGTGGGCAACCCACATGATCTGGCTGGCAGTAGGAACCCATAGATAGATCCTGGTGATGGAAACACCAAAGGGTCAGTGTGGACACTGAGGAAATCACTGGTAACTTCGGTGTATGCCTGGCTCTCGGAGGTCCTGGACAAGAGGAGAAACTGTCCCCACTTCCATCATCCCCTGTACCATGCCCGGCCCATGGTACGTCAACCACATACACAGCACTGTGCAGGTGGCCCCACACAGGTAGCTAGAACAGCAAGGTGGACTCTCTTCTGGATGGCAGGAGGAAGGAGTGAAAGAGCAGACAGCAGGGCAGCACTCACCACATAATCCAGGACACCAGCACCATTGTCGCCTCGTTGAGGGAATTGAAGAAACGGATGAGGTCTTCTCCTTCAGAGCCTAGTTTCTTTAAGGCCACTCCTAACACCAGAGCAAACAGGACCAATCCTAAAATGTTCATCCCTTCAATCTCAGTGCCCATGGGGATCTGCAGGATCAGAAGAGACAGGACAAGTTTATAACAGATGAGTGAGAATTAAAGATGCATTTGCTTGGTGTCCCCACCAGACTGAAACGTTGTGCCCAGAATGAGAAAAGGCTCATATTTAACCATTAGCAATTCTGCAAATAAAGGGGTAGGAAACTCAAGGGGAGATGTATTCTGAGGATACAGAAAGTCAACAAGCAAAAATTTCATCTAGTTGTTAACTCTGAAAGCTGCTCCATATTGCATAGGTTAAAGTGGAAGGTAGAGGGCTCCCTGTCATGGGGATATATCCAAGTAGGGGTTGGAGCCACCTAAAAGGGCTGCTTTTAAAAGCAGAGCTGGTTACTCAAAAGTTCCTTCAAGTGGGGCATGGTGGCTCACACCTGTAATCCCAGCACTTAGGGAGGCTGAAGCAGGTAGATCCCCTGAGGTCAGGAGTTTGAGACCAGCCTGCCCAACATGGTGAAACCCTGTCTCTACTAAAAATACAAAAATTAGCTGGGCTAGGTTTATTTATTTATTTTGTAGAGACACGGTCTCTACAAACTGGTCTCGAACTCCTGGGCCCAAGTGATTCTCCCAACCCAGTCTCTCAAAGTGCTATTATTACAGGCATGAGCCGTTGCACCTGGCCAAGACTTCTGAATATCACTATTCTCTCCCGGGACTTGACCTATTGAAGCTGGGTGCAGTGGGTATACCTGAAAGCTGTGGGAGAGAGACAACTTGGGGGATTTAGTGCTGGCTCCACTACTGGCCTACTAGGATTCTATGAGCTGGATGGCTAATACCTGGTGTTGACCTTGGGTCTGTCAACTCACACTTTTTGATACTGTCCCAAGTCCTAACTGAAATTGAGGGACAAGATTCAATGAAACCAGAGAATTCAATTATTTTTTAAAAGTTGGTTTTAATATCACATGTTCTCATATGTGGGAGCTAAAAAAGTGGATCTTGTGAAGACAAAGAGCAGATTGGTGGTTACTAGAGGCCAGGAAGGGTAGCTGGGGGGAAGGGAACAAAGAGAAGTGGATTAATGGATACAAATGTACAGGTTGATAGAAGAAATAGACCTAGTGTTTCATAGATCAGGAGGGCGACTATATTTTACAATCATTTATTTAAAATAGCTAGAATAATTCTACTATTTCTAGCATAAAGAAAAGACAAATGTTTAAGGTGATAGATATTGAAAACACACTGATTTGATCTTTACAAATTATATGAATTTTTACATTATCACATGTAACCCCAAACTATGCACATTTATTATGCATCAGTGAGAAAAGTGTATTAAGAAATAAAAAAGAAAGCTGGTTTCAGCAGGTCTGCAATTCCAAGGTATGGTGTTTGAGGTCAGGCAGATTCCAGATTTGCAACCAACTCTCAGATCTGAGGACAATTACACTAATATTCCCAATGAAATGACTCCCTTTCTGTAGAGGAAGCTGGTGGCACATGGGTTTGCAGTGAGGTATGCTGGCTGTAACATACCTGGGCAAATTTAGCATTGACTGAGGCTAGGGGACTACAAACACAACCAGAGCTGCAGCCCAGGCAGTCTTGCTGGTGTGTCATGCAGATTCTGTTTCTGCTGTCTCCATTACTCTTACCCCACGTCTCCCCTAGCTCCTCCCTCACCTTATCAGAAGACCTCCCTGACCACCCTGCTAAAATAGTACCCATCACCATACACACACACACACACACACACACACACACACACACACACTGTCTCTCTCTCTCTCTCTCTCTTTTTTTTTTATTTTTTTTATTTTTTATTTTTTGAGACGGAGTTTCGCTCTTGTTAACCCAGGCTGGAGTGCAATGGCGCGATCTCGGCTCACCGCAACCTCCGCCTCCTGGGCTCAGGCAATTCTCCTGCCTCAGCCTCCTGAGTAGCTGGGATTATAGGCACGCACCACCATGCCCAGCTAATTTTTTTTTTTTTTTTGTATTTTTAGTAGAGACGGGGTTTCACCATGTTGACCAGGTTGGTCTCGATCTCTCGACCTTGTGATCCACCCGCCTCGGCCTCCCAAAGTGCTGGGATTACAGGCTTGAGCCACCGTGCCCGGCCTCTCTCTCTCTCTCTCTCTCTCTTACTCTCTCTCTCTCTCTCTTCCTGTCTGCTTGCCCTGCTTTAATTTTCTTCTTGGCGCCTATCACTGGCTGATATATACTTATTAATTACATGATTCCCTCCACTAGAACATGGGCTCTGTAAGAGCAGGGCTTTGACTATACTGAGCACTACTAGAGTCCAGCACATGGGAAAGCACCTAGCTATTAACAACTAAATCACTAATTAATTAATGATTCAACTAAAGCCTAGGCGGAGTGTGTCGGTGGCAAGTATTACATGGGATCAAAGTGGGCATGGAAGAGCAGGCACCCTTCCAAGTGTCCTTGAGCCTCTGGGTCCTTGATTGATTTCTTTTTAGAGACAAGGTCTCCCTGTGTTGCTCGCTGGAGTACTGTAATCTCAAACTTCTTGGCTCAAGGAATCCTCCCACTTCAGCCTCCCAAGTAGCTGGTACTACAGGCAAATGCCACCACACTTGGCTAGTATAGAAAAAAAATTATTTTTAGAGGTGGGGGGGTCTCACTATGTTGCCCAGGCTGGTCTCAAATTTCTGGCTTCAAGCAATCCCCCCACCTCAGCTTTCTGAGTCACTGAGATTACAAGCATGAGTCGCCATGCCTGGCTAGGTTCTTGATTTTTCATTCTGTCACCAACATCCCATCCTTGGAGACAAAGCCCACACCTGCTATGCCTTTACATAGTCTTCTCACCACAGGATTTAGGAAAGCCTGGAACCAGCGAGGACACACTGCTCCTTTTTTTTTTTGTTTTAATTCATTTTTTTGAGATGGAGTCTTACTCTGTCGCCCAGGCTGGAGTGCAATGGCGCAATCTCGGCTCACTGCAACCTCTGCCTCCAGGGTTCAAGAGATTCTCCTGCCTCAGCCTCCCAAGTAGCTGGGATTACAGGTGCCACCACCATACTCCGCTAATTTTATATTTTTAGTAGAGATGCGGTTTCACCATGTTGGCCAGGTTGGTCTGGAATGCCTGACTTCAGGTGATCTGCATGTCTCTGCCTCCCAAAGTGCTGGGATTACAAGTGTGAGCCACTGCACCTGGCTTCTTTCTTAAAGCCTTACTCCCTAAATGCCTGGGTGAAATTTACCGTGGAGGCAAGTGTATGTCAGCTGAGGTAGATGCTCACAGGTCACCAGCATTCCCAGTGGAGAAGTTACAACAGCCATATTTGCCAAAACTTAAAGTTATTGCAGAGACAATTAGTGTTCTCGCATTTACTCATCACTCTTGGTTTCTTTTCATTTATTTAGACATAGCTTTGCTCTGTTGCCCAGGCTGGAGTGCAGTGGCATGATCATGACTCACTGTAGAATTGACCTCCCAGAATCAAGCAATCCTCCCCCCTTGGCTCCCAAGTAGCTGGGACTATAGACATGTGCCACTATGCCTGGCCAGTTTTTATATATTTTTTGTTTTTTATAAAGATGGGGGACTTACTATGTTGCCCAGGCTGGCCATGAACTCCTGGGCTCACGCAATCTTCCCTTCTTGGCCTCCCAAAGTGCTGGCATTACAGGCATAAGCCACCATGCCCAGCCAACAATTAGCTTTTTAAAACTGGCCAAAATAGCCGTGATCAACCTTGGAAGACCATCATTTCAAGTAATTTGTAATGGGGATATGAAATCCTACCTGGTCAGGTTGTCCTAAGGCTCCAATGAAATAACGTCGGAAAGTGTCCATGCCAAGGTGGCATGCAGAAGTGAGCCACTTACCTGGAGAGCAGGCCTAGTTGACAGCCACAGCCCAATGAGCCCAGCTGTAGAATCCAGGAGCTGTCAGAAGGGGCCAGGTTGGACTTCCAGCCACACCCTCTGGCCAGACACAAGGAAGTGACAGCCATCTTTTAAAATCAGGAACCACTGATTTATGAACAGGGGGGATATCATTCCCTAGGCGACTTTTGGAATGTGTGCGGGTGCATTGGTTGTCATAATGATTGTGGCCTCTTACTGGGGAAATCGTAGGCAGGGTACTAAGAATGCCAACTGTTGTGAAATGTTCAGGCAACAAAGTGCAGACTTTCCTACACCCCCCAGGCCTCAGAGCATCCTATCAGTCAGGTGGGGAAAAAGCTGTTTAAAATGCACTGAGCTAGGATTAACTCCACTTACTCTTAAATATTTTTTTCTGCATAGTTTTAGTATTTGCTGGATTTTCCAAGAATATCAAGGGGAGGTAAACTGAAGGAAGACTTTATTTTGTTCTGAACTTCAACAAGTGCTATTTGCCATTTTAGAATAATATCCAGGTCACTGGTACAAGGACATAATGTCAGTCTGTACTTGTAGCTGTTGCATTTGGGGTGATTCTGTATACATATACAAAAATATTTATTTAGCATGTATTTCAAAATGTGCAGAGAAATAGCAAAAAATATACCAACAATATTTAGTTGACTTCTATCTCACGGCTTTTAAATCTCAATTTATTTATTTATTCTAAGTAAATGTAAGTATCTGAAAACTTCATTATGTCTTCAAATATATTGTATATTTACATGGCAAAATATGGATTCTTTTATTAGAAATTATTTTTATTTTACCCTTATATTGACTTTTTAAAAAACATAGTAGGTGTTGGGGTAGGTTAAACACGTATTAATTACATTTCTGGATGGTAGAAAAGGTTTTATAAAATGTTATCTGAGGCCAGGCACAGGCTTACACTTGTAATCCCAGCACTTTGGGTGGCAAATGTGGGAGGATTATGTGAAGCCAGGAGTTCAAGGCTTGGCACACACATTGGAACTCTGTCTCTACAAAACATTAAAAAAAAAAAAAATAGCTGAGCCCGGTGGCACATGCCTGTAGTCCTAGCTACTTGGAAGGCTGAGGCAGGAGAATCACTTGAGGGCAAGAGTTCAAGGCTGCAGTGAGCCATGATCACATCACTGCACTCCAGCCTGGGTAATAGAACGAGACCCTGTTTCAAACAAACAACGCATAAACCAGTAAATAAAACATTTTACGGATCCAAAGGAGCAAACCTAATCTGTTCACTCCAAATGGTCCATTTACACCCCAAAGTTTTCAGCCCAGTTGAGAAAAAGACATGTCCTGTATGCTCCTTCAATTGTTATCAGTTTAAAGCTGGCTTCATAAAATGAGTTAAAAAGTTTTCAATCCCCCTCCATTTTCTAAAATAATTTATAAAAGATTAGTGGTAGTTTTTCTTACATTTTTAAATAAATTCACAAAATAAGAAAAAAAAAGAAATAAGATTTGCTTTAGACATATTTTTACAAGTGACCTTATAAAGAGTTTTACCTTTTCATGGGTTACGTTTCCAGAGCTGGTGCTGTAGTTCGCGACTCTATAATCGGTTGCATACTGTGATGAAGAGGAAGAAAAACCCACTGTTAGTGCACAGGTAAAGACCAATCTAGAGACGCCAAGGGAAATCCCGCGGTCTCACTACTTCTGTCACGGTTCACACTGAGTGTGCTGGGCATTCCCCACACAGTGGGCCTGACGAGAGCCTCTGAGAACTGTACAGAAGCTCCGTTAGGACCAAGCCAGCACGTACTTCAAGAGACCTCCTGCCAAGGAAGCAGGGAGAATTTCCTTATGTGCTTTGGGCAATGGTTTGGAGAAGAAGGGCTGCACAATTTTATGCTGATAGTTTGATATTTCCTCAGCCTTATATGTCATGTTATTTGAATAACCTTGGTACTAGCCGGGCGCGGTGGCTCAAGCCTGTAATCCCAGCACTTTGGGAGGCTGAGGCGGGTGGATCATGAGGTCAAGAGATCGAGACCATCCCGGTCAACATAGTGAAACCCCGTCTCAACTAAAAATACAAAAAATTAGCTGGGCATGGTGGCACGTGCCTGTAATCCCAGCCACTCAGGAGGCTGAGGCAGGAGAATTGCCTGAACCCAGGAGGCGGAGGTTGCGGTGAGCCGAGATCGAGCCATTGCACTCCAGCCTGGGTAACAAGAGCAAAACTCCGTCTCAAAAAAACAAAAAAAAAAACAAAACCTTGGTACTAACTAATGCCAAGGTTCATATTTCATTGTGTCATTTTATTTTCATTCATTTATTTATGCCCCACTTTGTTCTAGAGCTTATTTGAGCTTGACTGCTTCTACTGTCTGTTTCTTTCTTTCTTTTTTTTTTTTTTTTTTTTTGAGACGGAGTTTCGCTCTTGTTACCCAGGCTGGAGTGCAATGGCGCGATCTCGGCTCCCTGCAGCCTCCGCCTCCTGGGTTCAGGCAATTCTCCTGCCTCAGCCTCCTGAGTAGCTGGGATTACAGGCACGCACCACCATGCCCAGCTAATTTTTTGTATTTTTTTAGTAGAGACGGGGTTTCACCATGTTGACCAGGATGGTCTCGATCTCTTGACCTCGTGATCCACCCGCCTCGGCCTCCCAAAGTGCTGGGATTACAGGCTTGAGCCACCGCGCCCGGCCTTCTACTGTCTGTTTCTAATCTGGCTTGAGCCTCCACTCTCGAAAGCCAGGGATGTGAGGCAAGACAGTGTCTTCGAGCTGAGTGTCTTTGGGGGACTCACTTATCAGAAGTGAGACATCTCTGCAGCTTTGGTCCCCTGGTTGATTTCACATGCTTCTGCATGGTGCACACAGGCGTCTCCCTGCGGCAGTATATACTAACAAGTGGAATCTGTTGGAATGCAGTCCTTCCTGACCCCTTCTAAGGGCACCTGGCCCCTGAACTGTCAGCAGGAGCCCATTAGGAAGTATAGACTCACAGGCCTGCTTCTGCCTACCCTTGCTGGGCTCTGGCTTCTCTCATCTTTGATTTATCAGTGTTACAGAAAGGCAGAGGTGTTCAAACAAACCCACACACCCGCTCTGTGACAGGCACTAAAAAAAGCCCCACACACCTCTGTTTTTTTCCTACCTCACAATATATATACAAGTCATTCCTGTGCTTATAAGCAGATCAAAAAACAAAACAAAAATGAGAGGTTGTAAGTAGAAACAGAAAAGTTTTTGCTTATAAAAAGCAATCAGATTAGACCATATAATCTAGACCTTTATATTCCTTCTCTGTGTAAAGAATGGCCACAGGAATGTTACTTACAGCACTGCCAAAACGTAGGGGAAAACCAGAAACAACCGGAACATCCATCAGTGGGGGACTGATAGAGGAGAATTACCTTATGCTCTTACAATGGATGGAATACTCTACAGCCATGGTGTTATGCAGAAGGGTATCTACTGACAGGAGAAAATATTCACAATATGCTGCCTTAAAAAAACAGCAGACTATGAAGCAACATGTGTAGTGTGTGTACATACTATGTATGCTTATCTTTTATTATTTATTTTTTTGAGACAGAGTTTCACTCTTGTTGCCCAGGCTGGAGTGCAGTGGTGGGATCTGAGCTCACTGCAACCTCTGCCTCCCTGGCTCAAGCAATTCTCCTACCTCAGCCCCCCAAGTAGTTGAGATTACAGGCATGTACCACCCGCCCAGCTAATTTTTTGTATTTTTAGTAGAGATTGGGTTTCTCCATGTTGGTTAGGCTGGTCTCGAACTCCTGACCTCTGGTGATCTGCCCACCTCGGCCTCTCAGATTACTCACACCTGTAATCCCAGAGTGCTGGGATTACAGGTGTGAGTCACTGTGCCCACCCTATTTATTTATTTGAGATGGAGTCTCACTCTGTCACCCAGGTTGGAGTACAGTGGTATGATCTCAGCTCACTGCAGAGAACCCAGGTGGAGACCTCCTGGGTTCAAGCAATTCTTCTGCTTCAGCCTCCTGAGTGGCTGGGATTACAGGCACACCACCATGCCCGGCTAATTTTTATATTCTTAATGGAGACGGGGTTTCACCGTGTTGGCCAGGCTGGTCTTGAACTTCTAACTTCAAGTGATCCACCGGTCTTGGCCTCCCAAAGTGCTGTGATTATAGGCATGAGCCTCTGCATCCGGCCTGTATGCTTATTTTAAAAATGTATGTGTATACATGCATAGAAAAAACATATCTGGAGAAGGTATACCAAAAGAATGGGTAGCTCTAGGCAGTGACTATGGATGATTTTTTTTTCCTTACACTTCTTTGTATTTTAGGTTTTTTTTTTTTGCAATGAGCACATATTATCTTTATAGTCAGAAGAAAAGATAAAAGTGTATTTTTTTTTAAGTCTGCAATATATAAGATATCCCCAAAATGTGATTTAAGGGTATTTCTTAAATAACGTAAAAAAATTTTGGAGCCAGTGGGACATTTGGGAAAGTTTTGTTTGTTCAGTGTTTATTTTGTTGTTGTTTTTATTTTTTAACTCTAGGCACCCATTTATAAAAGTTTCGGCCAGGCCAGGAGCAGTGGCTCACGCCTGTAATCTCAGCACTTTGGGAAGCTGAGGTGAGTGGATCACAAGGTCAAGTAATCACGACCATCCTGGCCAACATGGTGAAACCTAGTCTTTACTAAAAATACAAAAAATTAGCTGGGCATGGTGGCATGCGCCTGTAATCCCAGCTATTCAGGAGGCTGAGGTAGGAGGATCACTTGAACCCGGGAGGTGGAGGTTGCAGTGAGCCAAGATCACGCCACTGCATTCCAGCTTGGCAATAGAGTGACACATCATCTGAAAAAAAAAAAAAAAAGGTTTAGGCCAATGTTACCAAGTTTTATTAACCCCACCATCTCTCCCTGTTCTACCTTACCCAACTCTATAGCAATAATTTATATATTTCTTCCATCAAAGTTTCATATTTTTAGGAAAGTATCAAGCCTTACCGTACGGAAAGCTGCAACCACAAGATTTGAGGGAAACAGGTTTCTGTTGGAAAAGAAAGCATACTGTCAGTATTCTTTTAAAACAATTTTTTAGAGGTGGGGTCCCTGTTGCCCAGGCTGGAGTGCAGTGGTGTGCTCTTAGCTCAGTGCAGCCTTGAACTTTTGGGCTCAAGTGATCTTCCTGCCTCAGCCTCCCAAAGTGTTGAGGCTACAGGCGTGAGCCATGGCACCTGGCTAGATCCGTATTCTTAAAATTCGGTGTGCAAAGTATCTGCTTTGAGATGTCCACTTATAAAAGCCTAACACAGTATTCTCTCACCACCCGCAGCTCATGCTGCATCTTTTGCTTGATTTAAGCACCCTGACTATGGCTGTGCTGCTGGGCCACAGTAGATACTTTGAGGACACTGATTTTCATCTTCATCTCTCTCATGGTACTCCTTGATAGTTGGGCTTAACTGTGTCCATCCAAGTCTATACCTGCATTGCTTTCCTCTCACCTAGAGTTTAGGCACCATTGCAGAGGTTTGCAATGTCGAGGTGCTGCCCACTAGTAAAATCCAAGGGCGTTTTTGTTACTGCAAAATTGAGGCATTCCTGAATTGAGGGGAGTGTGGGGGGGGAAATGCCAGGTCCCACACATTTGTCCTGTTAAATGCAGTAGAGACCTCTGTCATGAATCGTCTCAAGGCCCTCTTGGCTTTCCAGTGTCTTGTGTGACATATCTGTGGATAAAAACCTGTCTATAACTACCCAAGACTAAACTAATTCCAAAAAAAAGGTTTTGTTTTTCACAATTTGAACATACACTGAATTTTTCAGAAATGTAACTACTTGTAAATTATGGGTTGATTTTTGTTTTGTTCAGAATGTTTCCAAATATTATTTGTCTTCCTGGAAAGTCACACCACCAGAGCAAATTGTAGAATCTGAGTCTCTAATTCCACACCCAGTGTCAAGTAACAGTCTGCATTTATAACTATCTCATTAGCAGTGATTCTAAGTTTAGGAGCAAGCATTCAACCACTTCATTTTAGAGCATGTATATAGTGAAACACACTGTTTTTATTATAATTATATTCCTTTTGCTTTTTATATTAGTTACATCATATTGATATTTTAAAATTATGTGGGCAAGGACATTTTATTCATGGATTTCATTGTAGAATAAGGATATTATAAACATTTATTATAAAAGGAGGGCAATCAAGCTAATGGAGCCTAAAATCTATTCATGCAAATAGTTTTACTGAGGGCCTAGGGTCTGCGTAGGATGCTAGTCTTGATATACAAGAAATTTGATTCCAGCTGACAGTCCATTTGTTCTCACTTCCTGCAAGAACAGTAAGTCTAGAAGGGCAAAAGACTCTGGATCATTCTTTTTAATTTGTGTCATACTTATCCACTAATTCTTACTTCTGTAAGAAGCTGGGTTGTTCACCAGGATCTCCAGGCAACTATTTGCAGTGCATTGGGTTTCAGAGGTAGGCAGGTCTGGCTGCAACCCAGCTGTCGCAGGTAGAGTCTAAGGTGGCTTCCTGGTATTCACACTTGGGGCAATCCCTTTAGTATGGTCAGGTCTATGACTTGCTTCTAACAAACAAATAAATGCAGCAAAGGTGATGGGATGTCACATCCATGATTTGGTTACATAAGGTTGTAGCTTCCACTGTGCTAGCTGACTCTTCTTGTCTTCTGCTTGCAAGCTTTGATGAAGCAAGCTGCTATGTTGGAAAGGCCCTCAAGACTAGAAATAGCAAGTGGTCTCCAGCCAATAGCCAACTGAGGTGCCCAGTCCAAACTTTAAGGAACTGAATTCTGCCAACATCAGCATGACCTCAAAGGTGAATCCCTCCCCAGGTGGATGTTCGGGTAAGAACCTAGCTCTGACTAATACCTCAGTTGCAGCCTTGTAAAAGACTCTGAAGCAGAGGACCCAACCAAACTGTGCCAAGATTCCTAATCCCAGAGAGACTGTGGGATAATACATGTGTGAGATTTTAAGCTGCTAAATGTATAGTAGTTTGTTACGTAGCAATAGGTAACCAATATACCAGCCAACAAAGTTAATAAGATGCAAAAATCACTGCACTAGAACACCTAGGGTGCTCTCACAGGACAGCCAGCATATAGAGCCTGTGACCCAGCATTTCCCAAACTTGTCTATAAAACCTGACTGCTTTTAGCATATTTAGAGGATACCAGAGTACATGCCTGCATTTAAGCAGAAAAACAAAAATCTTTTTTTTTTTTTTTTTTTTTTTTTTTTGAGACGGAGTTTCACTCTTGTTACCCAGGCTGGAGTGCAATGGCGCGATCTCGGCTCACCGCAACCTCCGCCTCCTGGGTTCAGGCAATTCTCCTGCCTCAGCCTCCTGAGTAGCTGGGATTACAGGCACGCGCCACCATGCCCAGCTAATGTTTTGTATTTTTAGTAGAGACGGGGTTTCACCATGTTGACCAGGATGGTCTCGATCTCTTGACCTCGTGATCCACCCGCCTCGGCCTCCCAAAGTGCTGGGATTACAGGCTTGAGCCACCAACCCCGGCTACAAAAATCTTTAGCTGAATTAAATTATTGCAAAACTATGACCAGAAGTTTAATTCTTATCACAGCTAGATTTACTTTTTAAAAAGTAGAAACAGACCAGCAACTTATTGGCTCGTTTTCACAGTATAGATGAATAACAACTTACATTTGCTACTATTTCCATTACAAAGCAACTTTCTTACATATTTCATTCTTGGGGCTATGTTTGCCATCTCATTTCCATTTTCTGTCCTAGTCAGAAGCAGCAAGGGGCCCTGTGCCACGGTCTCTCTGCTCTGTATCCACCACACAACAATCCTTAGTAGTTGCCAGACCGAGCTGCGCCAAGGTTCTCTCTCCCTGAGGACCGGGAAGTTCAGAAAAGAGCTGGGTTAGAAGCCCTCCACTTTCCTCATGGGAAACAATTTTCCCGGCAAATACCTCACATCCTGCAGGGATTAGCTACTTTCTCAGTTGGCGCAAGCACAGCCTTTCCCACAGCCTTGAAATGCATTCTCTTCTAAAGAGCACAACACCATTTGTTTAATTCCGTGTATCTGTCCTGCCTGATCCCTTCATACAAGCAATAACCCAGTACTATCTCATCCAGAACAGGTTCTGACCTTAACCCAGAACTTCCATACCTAACAGCCACTGGCACGCCGACCTGTTTTCAGACTGTCTACAGTTTCTACTGTTCAGAATCCAATGGAAAGAGAGGAGTCCAGAGGCAAACCAGCAACAGCTGCCCCTCCCCTCAAAATCAAGTTCTTAAGAACATGATGTGTTTTGACAGTTTCTGATAAAGTTAAACATATATCTATCTACCACAGGACTCAGCAGTTCCATTCCTAGGTTTTTTTTTGGAGACAGAGTCTCGCTCTGTTGCCCAGGTTGCAGTGCAATGGTGGATCTCTGCTTACTGCAGCCTCTGCTTCTTGGGTTCAAGTGATTCTCATGCCTCAGCCTCCCGAGTAGCTGGGACTAGAGGCATGTGCCACCAAGTCTGGCTAATTTTTTTTTTTATTTTTAGTGCAGAAAGGGTTTTACCATGTTGCCCAGGCTGGTCTCAAACTCCTGACCTCAAGTGATCTGCCTGACTTGGCCTCCCAAAGTACTAAGATTACAGGCATGAGCCATCACGCCTGGCCCACTCCTAGATATTTACCTAAGAAATATAAAAATATATGACTGCAAAAAGGACCTGTATACATAATAGCATTGTTAATAATAGTCCAAAACCCAGATGTTCATCGACAGATGAATGGATAAACTGATTATGAAAAACCATACAACGGAATACCACTTGTTAATCAAGAGGAGCCAAGTGTTATACACAGCAATGGATAATCTCAGCAACACTGTGCTGAGCAAAACAAGACTGAAAAAGAAAAGTACATAATAAACGATTCCATTGATATGAAACTCTAAAAAAGCAAAACTAACATATAGTGATAAAAAGCAGGTTAGCTGCCTGAGGCCAGGGGTGGAGAATGAGGATTGCTGAGAGTCACAGGTGATGGAAGTGTTCACTATCTTGGATTGTGATGGTGGTTACATGAGTTATCCATGTGTCAAAACTCATTGAACTGTACATTTAAAGTGGGTACATTTATTGTACATAAATCATACTTTGAAATTGTTTAAAAGTATTTTAAAAAGTATGGTAATAACTGATAGAGATTGTCCCACTAAAAAAATATGTACATTCAGTGGGAGGGCTGAACTTTTTTTTAGAATATACAGCTCACTTCTCAGATAACAATCCCTGGGAAAGACTCTCCTGGGGGTCAGTGAGCTGAAGCACCCATAGAAAGCATCCTCCTTCACTTTCATCTTCTGGTTTCCACAGACCAGGAGCAAGAGCAGTTCCCTCCTGCTGTCACCAAGGGCAAAAAGACAAGGCTGCCAGAATAAAGCAAAATGCTTCTCTGTCCTCTACTTTCCCTCTCTCAATTGGTGTTCAGACACAGATGCTGTGGTAAACTCTGATTCTCACTCCTGAGCTCTCTTCTAATCTGGGATCAGCTGCCTCTTGGGCAAACAGTTTTGCTCAGAGCTCTGTCTTCAGGCACTGTTCCCAACTCCTCACATTCACCAAGTAGCTTCATGGGCTTTCGAAATCAGAGACATTGAGCTGGAAGGGATTTTAGAGGTGATCCAGTTCCATCCCCTCATTTAGCACAGAGACACCAATGCCCAGTCAGAGTTGATACATCTCCCATCTCTGCTCCATCTAGGCTAGCACCATCCAGCTGAAATTGTGCAGTCCAGCATGGCAGCAATGCAGCTATAGAGCACCTGGAATGTGGCCATGCTATCAAGGAACTGTTTTTCTTTTTTAATTTTGTTTTGTTTTGTTTTGAGATGGAGTTTTGCACTGTTGCCCAGGCTGGAATGCAATGGTGCAATCTCGGCTCACTGCAACTTCTGCCTCCTGGGTTCAAATGATTCTCCTGCCTCAGCCTCCAGAGTAGCTGGGATTACAGGCACACGCCACCATGCCCAGCTAA